TTGTTGATATAAGCTGGATGGATCTCAGTTACACTATTTGCGCCGGCAGCTGGATCGGTCCGCTTTCCAGTCTACATGTCATAGAAATCACAGAACATGAGGAATATGATCAGGAAAGTATGAAGTGGGACCAACTCACCTAAAGTTTAAGTGCCCCCGCACTCGGATTATTCAAAATCTCCGCTTTCAACTCATCCTTGGACATGGGGTCAGGCTTTTCAGCCTCGGGCCACGGATGCGGATGCTTGCCCTTGTGCCTGAGGAGACCCCATCCGGTAGGCAAGTGGTAATCAAATCTTACAGCCACGGAGTTTTGGCAACATTTCTTGTGGGTAACATTGCCATTGCATTTCCCTGATTTACCGGGACATTTTGTTTTCCTGTTTGGTAGCAAAATTACATACATGTTCAGTAAAGGTCATGAATCCATGTGGGGCAATGGTTTGTAAAAATATTTGCAAGAGTTGTAAAAAATTTTACAACTCTTGCAAATATATTTACAAACCATCAATCAGAAGGAGAATTAATCAAGAAATAATGATAAATGGGGCTTACCCCTCTTCAAGCTTCTGTTTACCACCTTTTCCGGTTGGGGGGGGGCAGCCCACTGGCAAGAAGGATCGTCACACACCAGGGCCCCCAGGCAGAAGTAACGAACAACTTTCCAATCGTTGTTGATACCACGCTTGTTGCTTGAGGATGTTTTTGAAAAACCAACGGTGCCGAAGTTCGTCACCGTCTTGCCAGGTTTGCGCACAAACACGGTTTTTCCGTTGGGATAGATCGGGTACCCTTGTTTGTCAAGGATACACCCGTGATTGATGTAGGTCCCAAAGGTGTCCTCCAAATTTGGGAGGAACCACTCCTTTGCGTTCCCTTGCGGATCTAGCATGGCATCCGTGTCGTCCGAATCCGCGTTGTTTGCTTCAGGATGGCCATCTTTGGATTGGATATCCTCCTCTGTTTCGTGGTCCGATTGGTTGATGAGGTTGACCTCCTCCTTGGCGACCTCCTTATCCTCAAAAACCTTCCTCTTTTCTATTGTATTGTCGTTGGTTTGCTTCTTGGTCGACAATATCCACGGTAAGTTTTCTTTTTCTTTTTTTTTTCTTCTTTTTTTTTTTTCTTTTTTGTCTTTTTGTCTTTTTCTTCTTTTTTTTCTTTTGCCTCTTTTGCCGTCGCGCCAGCCGTCTTCTTTGATGGCATCGAAGTTGAGTCTTCTTTTTTTCTTTTTCTTCTTCTTCTTTTTTTTTTGTTTTTCTTCTTTTTCTTCTTTTTTTGCTTTCACGTCTTTTGCCGTCGCGCTAGTGGTCTTCTGTGATTGCTTCAAATCCGAAGATCTCGCTGAATTGATCTTAATTCTCATTTCGCTGTCGAAATCGGGGGTTTCCAAATGGGGGCTGGAGGTAAAAAGCAACTCTGGCGGGGTGATGATCCAGGGACTTGGTGGATTCGTGCCAAGGGGAGTGGAAGCGGTAGACGGTGGGTTGAACAACGGCCGAGGATGGGGATTGACGCCGGCGTCAACGTTTGATTCCCTGGCGTTGGTTGCACCCGTTGGAAGGATCAATTCGTTGCCTGTCGTCCGAGGTTCTGACATCCTGAGAACGTTTTCTCTTTCTCTGTTTAGGCTGGATGGTGTCGGCGTTTGTCAGGCGTTGAGTTCTCTGTTGTCGGTGATCAAAAAAGGATGGGAGAAGGCCTGGCATATCACCCATGATATGCCGTGTTTGTCAAATGTTTGTATGAAGCTTATATGAAGCTTAATGGATATGTATTGAAAGTTTAATGATAGATTGTAAACTATGTGTTGTAAAATTCTATTACAGGGTGCCAATAAGCTTTTTTACATACGTAGTTTCACAAGACATTAAGGTTTGCAAGCGTATGTCTTGTAAAATTCTAAATTTAAGCTTTGATATACAACTTTACAACCTAGTCATGCAAGACTTGCATGATATAGTTTGTAAAATTACATAATGCAATGTTGTGATACAATTTCAACAAACATATTTTACAAACCAATTTTTTACAAAATTCGAAAATGACAGATGGGTTTTAAAATTATACATTACCCCCATAAAAACGTAATTTTACAAACTATCCGGTTTACAAGACATATGTCTTGTAAAAAATAGTTTGTAAAATTCACTTACCCCATAAATAATTATCACTTACCTTTCACTCCTTTATCCGTGAAATACCTGTACCACAAGCTATCCCTGTACTACAGTATTTTCACCACCTGTGTCACTCCAATTCTTCCATTATAAATGGAGGAAAAAACGTTCACATCCTCCATTTGGAATGGAAAAATGGGTGGAGCTAGATGTTCCTAGCTCCACCCAGCTCTCCCAGCTCCTTTTTCCAGCTCAGTGAGCTGGATTGCAACTGTGGTTTTAGTATTGGTATGACTTCCCGCAGCCCAGCCATTATAGTCTGTTGGCATAAGTGAACCCCCACAACCTCAGCCAGGGCTGAGTTTGTGGTTTCAATTCCCACCCTGGCTATGGGTTAGGGGGTTAGGGGGTTAGGGGGTTAGGTTAGGGGGTTAGGTTAGGGGGTTAGGGGGTTAGGTTAGGGGGTTAGGTTAGGGGGTTAGGTTAGGGGGTTAGGTTAGGGGGTTAGGTTAGGGGGTTAGGTTAGGGGGTTAGGTTTAGGGGGTTAGGTTTAGGGGGTTAGGTTCCGGGGGTTAAGTTTTAGGGTTAGGTTTTAGGGTTAGGTTTTAGGGGTTAGGGGTTAGGGGGTAGGGGCCAAGGGTTAGGGGTTAGAGGTTAGGGGTTAGGGGTTAGGGGTTAGGGGTTAGGGGTTAGGGGTTAGGGGTTAGGGGTTAGGGTTAGGGTTAGGGTTAGGGTTAGGGGTTAGGGGTTAGGGTTAGGGGTTAGTATCCAGCTCAACCAGCTCTAGTCTAGCTCATCCAGCTCTAATCCAGCTCATCCAGCTCATCCAGCTCCAATCCAGCTCATCCAGCTCCAATCCAGCTCATCCAGCTCACATATCCAGCTCATCCAGCTCACATATCCAGCTCACCCAGCTCCAATCCAGCTCCCCCAGCTCACATTCAGCTCACCAAGCTCAAATTGAGCTGGGTGAGCTGGGTGGAGCTGGGCATATCCAGCTCCACCCATTTTTTTTTTTCCTCCATTTGTAATGGAAGAATTGGAGTGACAAACCTCATTTTCACGGTCAAATATCATTACAAATAAATATGTACATGTATTGAATAATAAGTATTAAGTGCTAATAGAATTAATACATTCAATACATGCACTGATCACAATTATTACTGCATTATTAGAGGATCTTTTAAAGTGCACACATCAAGAGCAACTAGTAAACAATTATTATGTCACTTACTGATCATGAAAAATAAGGATCAGTCAAATCAAATGATGTGCTCATCCTCCTGGCTCAAGATCCCTTGATTCTGAGCGCTCATTCCTTCCCTCTTTCAATATTCTGGAGCTTATAATCTGTGCCCCTTTCACTGATTAATCCCCAGAATATTCAGACACCAGTCCAACATAGTTAAAATTTATTTTGATACATTAAACGTAACTCAACTTAAATCAAGCCTTCTTATATTGTTCTTAAGCTTCAGTCAACAACTCAACTTATCCACAATATCCATAGCCTTGCTGAATATTCCCATTAACAATATTTGTTAATCTTCAACTAATTTTGTTAAAGCTTAATAATTATTGTTAGCCCTTTCCCTTTTGGGAACCAAATCAATCCCAGGTGAGTCCTAGTACCCTGGATGCCTATTAATACCAAGTATTGATCGGGATGCGTTGTTGGTAGCAAGCCTCTCAGTAAAGACCATACTGATAGAGTGAAACCTCCTCATTACAGGACTTGTATTAACACTCACTACCTAACACTAACCACGCTGCAAACACTCAGTCAACTCATAGTAACACCCTTCCTACCAATAAACACTCAGGTTAGTTACCCAGAGGCTGACAGGCTTCAACCGGCAAGGAGGATGTATTCATAAAATGATTGGTAAGAGGCTAAAAATTGGTGAGTAGCTTGATGTTTATTACACATGATTGAGTAGCGCCTTTATCAAATACTAAGAATCTTCAAAAATACTTGCGGGAAGCATGTTGGACCGTAGCAACAAAGAGATTTGAACAATTGGAGTCAACATTGAATGGCCCTTGACTTTTATCAGACTGATTCACATTATCATGGACCATTCCTAGCATATTAGTTGAGTTGAACTTCTTCATCAAGTTGGTTAATTTACCAACTGATTTTCCTAGTTGCTGGAAACGGTTTTCCATTGCATCAGAGTTTTGATTTTTTGAGGAGGAGGACGAGTTATTTTTGACACCTTTGGAGTTATTCCCCACAAGTTGAGTACCATCATTAACAGTAGGAGCTACAGCTTTAGGTTTAGCTTGCTTGTTTCTCTTCTTTTTTGGCTCAGCTGACCCATTTGAATTTGATACAAACATTACATTTGATTGATTTTCAGGAAAATTAGCTCTTCAAGCAGCTTCAATCCCAACACAATATGTTACATTCTTGAGATTGAATGGTTTAATATTGTAACAATTTTGAAGGAGCAGTGCAAGTTTGGGATCATGTTCTAAGCTCTCAAGGAAAATAGCAGCTGCCATAAACAAGGTCACTATGCCAAATTCTTGAAGGTGATTGGCCGTTTGTTTGGCTAGACAAGTATAGGCACTCTTAAACTTAGAGATGTGATCTGAAAGGGAAGTTCCAGGCTGGTACTTCATTTGATTAACCTTCTGATGCGCCGAACAGATCGTAATCACCAAATTTTGGCCACAAGCCAAAGCCAAAGCGTCCCAAGTGTCTTTGAATGACGTATCATTTTCAAGGATTTCATTGTGTAAGTCCTTGCTGACTGCTCCATAAATTGTGTTCAGCGCCTATAGTTTTTCTTTTTAAACTGATTGGTGTTTTTGTTGTCTTTAACCCAGTCATCGTCAAACAGACAATAAAGCTGATGAATTTTAAGATACAGCGTAAATCAAGACTTCAATTGTACCCAATTATTGAGATTGAGTTTTTTGATTCAAATCAAATCTTTATTCTTGGATGAATCTGAATCGCTGCTCATATTGACACCTGTTTTAGTTCTACTTGTTGTTTTCTCTAACTTTGAGCTTCTGAAGGATTCAAGAGATGACTCTCGCTACAATGTGATGTATGGAGGAGCACTTTTATTGAAAATCTTTTCATCAAGCCAGTAGTAGTAGAAAATACTAACAAGAGAAATAACCAAACCAAAACATCATTCAGAACCTTTAGATATCAAAGACAAAAGAATGAAATAAAGGAAACTCATGACCAACGTTTGTCTATGACAATCAACAACCCAGAACTAAAACAGTGCCATGAGATAACAATGACGACTACGACTTGAACACAATCTAAAATACCAGCAATATTAAGTTAACAACTAAAGATTGAGAAATGCAATCAAAAGACGGAAAAGACGACAAAAAAATGTAAGCTCCTCAAATTTTGTTTTTATTCCTCCTCCTTGATTGATGTATTCTAGTGATTCTGGTCTAGAAAATGAATTGATAGCAGTGATGAGTTTTTGGGATTAGTTAATTTGACAATGAGTTTTGAGTACCTTTGCGACTTCTTCCAATCTTGATCTCAATGGTTCCAATTTCTTGATCTCTTGAAGTCTTGAAGATTTTGAGTGAAAGAAAAAACAGAAAAAACGGCAGCAGACTCTAGTCAACACCACACTTGAATTTGAAATTCAAACATTCAATTCACCCGTGTGAAACTCTCTGATGCAAACTTCAACCTTCCACATCATCCGTCACTAATTATAACCTCAACACCCCTGAAAGATAATTTGGCTCACGCTTCAGAAATTTGAGATAGGAGGTAGCTGCAATTTCTTGCCCAACCTCTGTTCCATGATCAGGTCCAAGTCCAGAAAGGCCTTATTTGGGACTGTTGGCATCACATCCATCAGCAATCATTTTTTAAGAGGTGGCTTGAAAGATGGGAAAACCAGACTCAGAAACTTGATAACAACAACAAACCAAACAAATCATTTCTACTTTTATCTATAACTCTCAATAAATTCCCCTTACAGATCAAAATGTGTTTTAAAATATGTTACTCAGAATAGATGCCAACCATTCCACATAGTGGTGTCAAGTCTGCAAGATTTTATCCTTATAAGTTACAATTATCCCCTTGATCAAGATTTTATTAAACTAGGAAAACTTGAAGGTTTATTTCATTGTCAGATAGGATGATCTAAAACAATGAAAGAGAGAAAAGAAATATGAAAAAGACAAGAGAGATGAAAGACTTCTGTACCTTGAAGGCAAAGGTATGGATGCAAGTATTGTCAGGCTCATTGATGCCAAGAGCAGAACTCTTCTAGCTACACTAGCTGCAAGAGTAAAAATGGGATGTGTACACGTGTGGGTAACACGTGAAAAGTGGGGGAAGTGTGTGTAAAATAAAAGAAAATCGTAAATAAAAACTGTTAAGTTTTTATTTACAGAGGGGCCTGAGTTGCAGGGGTTTTTTACTGTGCCCTCTAATTCAGGTCCTGAGTTGCAGGGGTGGTACTGAAATTCTGGTCCTTTATAATAAAGGAGTAAACCCAGAAAAAAGTCTACTACTGAAGAAACAAAGAGATAATACTTACTGGTACTTATCTCTAAGCCAAGGAGGTCTTCAGAAGAGGGGGACTGTTCTTGAAGCGCTCAGAAAGGTGAGTGAGAGGTGTTGGGAGAGTGCTGGGGAACAGGTGTTGGGTTTTTGAGTGAAATTCAGGTTGATAACAGCAGGAACTGGGCCAAAAGGCAGGTTGAAACTGGTTGTTTGTGACGGTTTATGCTGGTAAGTAATGATGAAGATGGGGAATCAAAGTTCAGGGGGAAGAAGGGGCTCTTAAATACCCATTCTGGGCCTCTGGAGGCGAACTCAGGAGTCTCTCTAGTTGCTACAACTCTCCTACTAAGCCTATGGGAGCTTTTGATCATCTGTAGTACCTGTAGAGCTTGGTTACAGGTGTCAAGGAGATGATGTAAGGCTTGTAACCATGTTTACAGGGTGTTCTGACGAAACTGTAACACTCCTGTAGCCTATTTCAGCACTGCATGATGCATGGGTTGATCCTTCAGAGAGTAATTGTCCCAATTGGGCCAAAAAGGGCCACAGATCATCCCAAACAATTTAATACTGTAGTCTGTGCTCATGTAGTTAAGGTTTCAATGATGTAAACCTTGTTTTTAGATTTTTCCCGAACTGTATGAAACTTAATTACACATGTAGCCCCCTTACAACATGTAGTATGATGTAACTGGAGGGGTCTACAGTGTATTTTGGTCCAATATCACTCAAGGACTACAAAGTAAGTGAAGGAGTAATAATTCAGGGGTACACTTGGTGAGCTACCCTAGGTTATTTTGCATGTAGATTCAGAATCTGCAATAATATTCTGAGTTATACTTAAGGTTCAGAAGTTATTAGGAGATTCTGGTTAAAAAATGTCATTTTTCCTTATTTATTTAATTATTTAAATAGATAAGTAATTAACAGATAAGATAAATGTAAGATAAATAAGATAAGATAAGTTAATGATAATAATAAGATAACAAGAGGTAAAGGTAATCAACATTATGGATAAGTACTTATGTACATAAGTACAGGTGTTGCAGTTACTTGGTACATGAAAGGTACTGTGACATGTACTCTGTGGCTGACAGCTGACAAGTATAGAGATGACAGAAATGTTGTCAGGGGAAGGGGAAGCACAGAGGCATATAGTACAATGAATCAAGAGCAAGGTATGAAGGAACAAGTTCTTCTCTTAGGAGCAAGTAAAGGAAAAACAGAAGTTATGCAACAACGGATAGAGAATACAAGGGTGTGGAACAAGTTTGTCGCAAGCTTGTTTTTGGGAAAGAGTTTTATGGAAGAAACAGATTTAGACTTTCTCTGATGGGTGATCTGGGAAAGGGGAGGAAACAGATGACCAAAGTAAAAGAGAGGTAAGTGTAAGCTGCCCTTTATGGTCTTAGATGGGTATTTTCATCCAGCTGTGCTTATGGTCATCTGGTGCGCATTGCATATCCTCATTTCCTCAGATGGTAGTAACTGTCTGTTTAGGCTGATCCACTTCAGCCCCTTGTGCATTGATATCTATGGTATTGGTAGTAAGGGCGTAGCAAGTTAGTGGATTATATTCACAAAGAAGGGTCAAAGCCTTGTTTGGTTCTGGACTGGTTATGACTTACAAGTAAACACTTGGCTGAGAAAACAGTCCAAGGTAGCAACAGTCTCATCAGTGGCTGTATCTTGACAAATTTGTCCATAAATGTCATTTGCATTTTGAAAATGTTTTACCCCTTTTCCTCAAGATGCTTTATTAGAAATCATCCAAAACCCATGTACTTCAAAAGTAGAAAAAATTTCACCATGTTCTTTAGGTTTGACTTCAGATAGGTTCAAATCAAGTCTGATATGTATAGCCATAGTCAAGAGGACAAATGGTAATAAGATAATTATGTGCTTACCAAGTAATCAGATTTGAGTATTTCACTGAGGATGGTATATCTCAGGAATGAGCTTATTGGATCAAGCCCAGGGGCATAAAGTGAGGGATATATTGATTCTCCAGACATTATGTTGATATTCATTTTTGCACAGGTGTTTCAGGTAGAAAAATATTGTGCTGCGGGTGATTTGAGCCTCCATGGATGGGCAAATAGTGGTGATTGGGGCTAAATGAAGTGATATAGGACGGGTGGGCGATTGTCCGGCTCAGAGGGACCGGGCTCAGAAGGGCCAGGTTTAGTACCAGAGGGTGCAGGTATAGCTACAAATCTTTTTGCAGCATGTTCACATCCCAGCTTGCTTCTGTCATCCCAGGCCGTGTTTTTGCTGAATATTTTATGACAAGTCATGCAGCTGTAGTATGTTTTGTCACATTCCTTCTTGCATTTGTGTCCATCCTGGTACTCCCAGCCACATAGGTCACGAAGCTTGAGAGACATTTGAGTCCTTTCCTCCTCTGACAATGGTATACCTTTCCCTCCACAAGTTTGAGTGTTTGGGCAACGAGCACGTCGTTGAGCATGGGCAATTGAAACAAGCACGAGTACCAAAGTGACACGCAGTGCGGTGGCGCAGAGATCCATGATGGAGGAGCAGTAAGGGGTGGGCACAAGGGGGATTGAACTGGTGTCCAATAGCGTTGGTGGACAATGGCAGTTGAAGAGAGGGCCAAGTGCGCAAGGTTGCTGCTATGCTAATGATTAGCAGTAGGTGACTTTCCTTAAGTTGTGTATAAGTAGGGTACAACTAAAACAACTGAGTTTGGAATCTTGTTCACCCACACATTCACAAACCTCAGACAAAATTTCTAGGGACATTGACTGTGCTTCTTTTTGCTGCCTACCCTGGCTGAAAGTGAAATTCATCTCTTGCCACACCATCATAACCACACCCATGCTCTCTCACCCCTGAAGAAAAGGGTTATTAAAATTTGCAAATTGCCATGTATGTTGATAGGGGTAGTATCATAAATGCTTGAATTGTGCATGCATATAGATCACTTCTGATGGCAAAATTAAATTTGTTTAGTTTTCTCAGCAAAATTTATTTTTGATGGCAAAATTAAATTTCAGTTGGTTGTGTCAGCAAAGACAATTTTCAGCACATTTGGGAGTAAAAATTCACATTTTTTGTGAACCCTCATGAATCATGTTTTTTAGACCACTGTGTAAGTTGTGAAAAAGTCTGCAGAATCTCAATGGTGGATGTCCTAGAATTCAAGTGGAAAGTGGGTACCCTGCCCCACATTGAGTTTGGGGCAGGTTCAGACTCCTTGTGAGAGAAAGTTGACCCAACCCACCCCTCCCTGGCCAGAAGGCAGGGCAGGCTTGGATGAGCTGACTGTCACTAGACTGGCCAACCACAGTCTGCCAAAGGATTCTGCTTGAGAATCAAATCAAATTATCCCCATGTATGTGGTAAAACCGCTAGTCAAGCTTGTGAGGAATAGTTTTTTCCACCTAGTTCAGTGGCCTGCTTTGTGGGTCTGGGGCCTGGACTAGACAAACAATCTCTGTTTCTTGACCTGATCCACCCCACCTCCCATCTAATAGCTGGGATAGGTTTGGGTCACATTTCTGGGCCCAAACCCAGCCCACTTTCCACCTGACCTTCACTTGGCCCTCAAGTTCAGATGCGAACTGTCTAGAGGTGAGTTCAATCAGGCCTATCTTTTGGACGCTTATGAGATGTGGCACTATAAAATTTGTATCTAAATTCAGATCTGTGTTTTTTTTTTCTTCCTGAAAACAGGCTTGCTTTGAAATGAGGACAAAAAACAAAAACTGCTGAGTGGACTTCTCTAGTACCAGGATGATTTTGTGTGAACATGCAAATGCTGGCTAATTTCCTCCTGTCTTTATATAGACAAATCAAGAAGGTTTACATTTATTTATAATTCATCAATAACTTATTGGTAACCTTCAAACCATTAGAATTTTTTGACAGATAAAAGCCATATTTAAGTTTTGAGATTAATTTTAAACTGGGAAATTGAGAGGAGAATGAGGTTATCAAAGTCGATTTTGAAGGATCGGTAGGGGCATCAAGAAAATTCAGTTTCGATTGGATCAAAGGGTTCTTGACCGTAAAGATTTTTGAGATTTGAACAGAGTTATTTGGTTTGGATTTCTCTAAAAAGTTTTGCGGGTTGTGTTGGTCCTTCAATCGGATGTCGGAAGTCAATAGTGGCTGTGGTATCGTGTTCAACTTCAAAACGAAGAACTTTTGTAAGACCAAGTAGATCAATTCTTCCTTCATCTTCCCATCCCAACCCTTAATCTTTCGTTTTCGCTGAGCACCCCACTGATAATTTGGATCGAATTCTTTCGGTTTCGGGCCCGAGGAATGTATCGCACACCATTCCATCAGATCGATCCATCCGCCTTCATCCTGAACACCACCGGTTTTGACATCTGCCAGTTGGTCTAGATGAATGTGCATCGATTCCAAGATTTTCAATGCTCCATCGACATCTTTGGCTTTCAAACAAGCTCGGACAAAGGGTCGGAAGGAGCCGAGATTGGGCTCAAGTCGTTTAGTCAGTTTCGGATGAGTCGGCGACGATGGTCCGGACGGCTGATGAAAGTGCTGGGTGAGGAATGAGTCGAAGACTATGGGAATCAATTTGGGAGGACAGATCGAGAGGATTGAGTCGTATAGAACCGTCAAAACACCGACGGTCGGATGAATTAATTTTTGGTAGTTAAGTCCAGTTGGATCGGTTGAAGATGTAAATTGATTTGACCGAGTCCTTGATGGATTCCCATCCCGATTCGGACCCCATCGGACCTGATTTATAAGGTTTACATCACAACCTAAGGGAATGAAATAATCCAGAAAGATTTGGATCGCGCGTCGTGGTTGTCCAGATCGATGGTAAAAGATCATCCAGCTGTGGGCCCAGAGGAAGACGATGTCGGACCGGGTTTCAATCGTGAAATTGGGACAAAGCTGTGTGGCTTGATTGCTTGCTTGGCCTGGCTTAACACCTAGACGACCAGGAGGTTCAAGAATGAATGATTTAAGAATCTGTTCCTCAGTTCCTTCTTGTTGACTACCTCCATGTGGATGTAGACTTGCTTGAATGTTTCGAAACGAGTTCCGCAGGGGTAGGATCTGGTGAATTTCGTTCGCTAGTTGGGCAGCTTTGACAAACTTTGGATGATGGTTTTGATCGAAGAGAGATCGGAAATAGGTAATGAATTGATCCAGTTTCTCCAATGAGATCTGATGACAAATTTCAGGTTTAACACTCATCGCATTCTTGAAGACTTTGACATATTTTTTCGAGATTTGCTTTGTTAATGGTGGAAGATTGAGTGAGTTCAAACACTCTGATTTCTTGGCTAGCCAGAGACTGAGACTAGGTTGATCTGTCTCACGCCAACGAGAAATCAATCTGTTTAGCTCGCGAGACCAATTTTGGGTTGATTGAGGAGAGTCCTCCTTGATCTTAGATATCATTTGATCAGCTAATGCTTGATATGTCAAGGGGTACGCTTTGGCCGAACCGGATCCATATCTTGAGTTGGACTGCTGAGGAGGTGTGTACAAAATATCGATCGCCTCAGAAAGGTGTCCTTGGTTGGCCAACTGGACTACGAGGAAATCGTAGCATGACTTGATCAATTCGTCAGAATATGATTGTTTCTTGATGATTGAACACATCTTTTCAGTCGTTGAAATAGTCTTCGCAGGCAACTGGGTACGGACTAGGTGTCTGATTGCTGTGAAACCAACATGCCTTGAAAAACATCCTTTGACGACAAGAATTTCGAGGAATTTTAAAATCGATGAGAGTTCATGGGGGATTGATTTCAAAATGTAATTCAGATGGACTTCGGAAATCGGAATGGGAGGGCGTATATCTAGACAGCTGGCTTGTTGGAGATGGGAGGAAGATACGAGAGGGAGCCATTCAAGATAGGATGCGATGTTGTGGGCCTGGAAGAGTAAGTCGAAACAGTGCGAAGTGATTTTGAGATTGATGGGTAGATTGATCCCACTTTTGATGATTTCAGATCTCAGTTGCTCAGCCGCATCGGGATCATCACGAATGAGGTATACTAGCCGTTCAGACAAGCTTGTATCAATTCGGGATTTCAGGTCAAGTACCGTGTGGTCGTTTGCGTTTGCTTGAGATATATCATCGACAGGCTCTATTGGTTCGAATAATGTGAAATCCGGTCGAAACGGGATATCCGCATGTGCTCTTGAAGTCCAGTTCTCCACCTTGTCATTAGCCAGATCGAATTCTTGCCTAGAGTTTGGTTTGACCTCAGTGGTAAGACGTCCATCGGCGGGAGAATCAAGCTGTAAGCTGAGGGAGGGCACGCTCGGATAGATTTCGGCCACTGAATAATTGCGAGATGACCGATCGGGAAGATGCGGCCGTCTTGGTTTCCTGATGGCCACCCGGTTACGCTGCTTCAATGACTGTAAGGGAAGGCTCAGGTTAAGCCGTAGCTGCTGAGTCGTGGCTAGCGGGTTCACCGTCATCTTCCGATCCACGCGAATATAATATCAAGTCAGCACTAGTCTTTTCACAATAACGAGGTTAGTACGGGCACACCTTGAGTTTCTCTCAGTGCTTTCGTTCCATCTAGCAGCTTGCATTCGTTTGCTAATCGTCCCAGGTTGTCCTCAAGTCTCGATTGGTCGTTGGTTCTGAGTTTTTTGAACCTTCGATCGGGATTTGGGAAGAGTGGTATTCAGGGTTTCACATGCCCTGTCAAGAGGAGCTTCACGGGAGCTGTCACAAAGGCAACCCGCTTGGCAAGATTCAAAAACCAGGGCAGTCCTGGGCAGTCGCATTGGCCCCGGGCTAACCTTGGGTTAACAAACCTGAAATTCATTTTCAGCCTGTTTCAGGCTTACATCGGCTAAATTTACTAGAGACGTTTATAACCTAGCAGGCTGACCCCAGGTTTAGTTAACCTGAAAATCTAGCCAACAAATCTGAATGCTCTCAAGGGTGGCATATTAGCGAGGTTCACAACAAACTAAACCAAGTCCCCTCCTGGGCCCCCAGGGGACTGATGAGAGCATCCTTACCAGTTGAGCTAAAATACAGAGGTTTTAGCTTGTGGCTATTGCTAAGCTACTATAGCAAAGCCTATTCAGTCACACCGGTGTGGCTTGAGGTTAAGCTGTGTGGTGTGGTAACTGGTTTGAAGTAGAGGTGTGTGATTGTTTGTGGGAGGGCACCAAAATGAAGTACACTCATGGGTGTTTTCTTTAATTAGCTTGCTTGCAAGCTAACCATTGCTAGATCTTGCAACGGTTGTCTCAAATTGGAGCCACAAGCAACGGTGCAACAGAGACAATACAAGATGGTATCGGGTGTTTATTTGTATTGTCTCAGAATTTGAGAACCCCAAAATACCGGATTTGTGTTGTCTCACTTTCCTGAGACAATACACACATATTGTCTATGGAAAGTGAGACAAGTATTCTGTATTGTCTCAGATAACTGATCCCACCAAAACTGTATTTGATACTCAAGATATTTGGCTGTATTGAAGAAAAAAGAAAAAAAAGACATTTTTTTTCATTTGTAAATCCAAATCCAAGACAATGAATTTTTTCACCAACCAAGAAAATACTGATACCGGTATCAGGCCTAAAATAAAGATGATACAATCTGATATGAATACATGTCTTGTATATGTTGCACGGTTGCCACAATCTAGTGAAGAGTGCACCAGTTGGTGACCTCCTTCAGTTGGTTATACTCATCAACAACCGTAAGATGGGCTGATTTGGTCTTGGGAGCCTTCTCTGGAAACTTTTTCCAGCAGTTATGGGGTCGATTGACCGGTCTTGCCACAGTGAGAGCAAGCAACACCAGACTTTGAAGAGGAAGCAGTGGTCATCATTGTTGCTTAAGTTTCAATTGACGACTCCTTCTTGATGTTGTTTGAGATGGCATAACTTTTGAGTTGCTTGACTGCGGATTTGAACGTCTTGGTGGCAAAGCCCATTGCAATGATGTCTCTGAAGGATTGATATTGGCCTCAAAGGAGCTTTCAAAGCATTATCATAATCTTGACTTGATTGTCTTTGAGGATGTTTGCAAGTCTGATGGCGGAGCAGAAGGTTCCGACGTCTATGTATTTGAGATTGAGGAAGTGATCAAGAGAATTCAACCGAGCAAGAATATCTGATCCGGCGTATTTGTTTTTGAGCAATTTCCATAATGCTCTACCGTTGAATCAATCACCTTCAGGCAGAGTAATGCTAACAAGAGAAAGGTTAGCAGTGTCGAGGTTTTGAATGAGCTTCAAATAGCCTTTGCGGTTCAGAATGGAGTATATAGCAAGCTTGTCCGCAGTGGTCTTTTCATCAATTTTTACTAGGCCAGTGACAAGCTCGCAAGCTCCAATGTCTTCCAGTTTGGCTTTGATTGACACAATCCGGATGGAGTAATTTTTGGAGATGAGCAGATACTGAGAGGATTCAAGTCAAGATTCACTTTCCATGGCGAGCAATGGTTAGCGGTCTCAACTGTTAATTGTGTTGAATTTTTGAACTGTTGACAGGAGGATTTGAGATTTTTGAGAAGAGGGCTCAAAAAGGTTAAGGACCTTTTTGGGAATGGCTCACGGAAAAAGAATGAGAGAACCAATATTTTTTTATTCACTGTAGGTAGGCTAGCTTAAGTAGACTAAATACAAGTGATCAAAATGTGGTATGAGAAAGAATGAATAAAAAAGTATTTTGAATAAAAACTGAGAGGAAGAAATGTATGAGTTCATGGAAGAAATAACCGGACATGTCTTCTCAGTCTCTTTTAGACAAGCTAGTAAAATTAATCATGAGAAAACAAACAATCCACCACAAATGAACAGAGTTGTTAATTCTAGACAATCAGCTTTTAAGAATCAGATAATGAAAATAGAAAAAGCAAGAAATCATTCTTCAGAACTAGAGTTGTATGATAAAGTGCCACAGGTAATTAGACTTCAAGTGTGCAGAAGATTCAACAAAAAAATTGGGAAGATTGATTATAATTCAGTCTATTTCAGGATGATTCAAGAAAGGAAAAAGAGAGAAAGAAGCTGAAAAAGGAGAGTGATTTTGAAGAGGAGTAGACAAGAGAGGTGAAAACTCAACAGTAAGCACATCATTGTTGTCATCCATCCATTTGAGTATATTGTTGATGTCCATGACTTGATTCAGTGTGGAAGGGGATATTGATCTACCAGCGGCTGGGGGATAACTGCCAGTCCATAATTGGGATTGACCTGCGACCCCAGTGACATGGGATTGTGGCCCAGGGAACGCAAGGCAGTTTCCCCCCAGACCGTTGGAGATGCTCTAACACTACAGTTAGTGCAACTGTATGTTTTGGATTTGTATTTGTTCCATCTGATCTCCATCCCTGGAACTATCTCCTCACTGAATATAAAACACATTTTTATTAGTGTTAGCTCACAGTGTCACAATACATAGTCTGTAAACTTCAGTCTGGGAAACCCTGTGCCCCTCAACACTGCTATGTAGTATTTTTATACTTGTGCCTAGAGATGCTTCTACCAAGTATTGCACTACTACTCCTTTACCAGTCTCACTAATTCATATTTCCATATTGAATACAAACTACATTCTCTTGTCCATCCCACTTGTGAGTCTTGATGAAATTCTTTGTTTCAGTCGCCAGCTGGTCCCTTCAGCATTAATTAACACCTATAAAAATGGACATACACTCTTTAGTGACAGCCTGAAACCAGAGTCATCATTTGAGAGGGAGATCCTCCAGGGCCTGTCTGTGTCAGACTTTCCAAGCATCTTGGAAAGTGCTACACAATTGCACATTATCAGCATAAGATATCATCCAAGAGGTTGATAAAGTGTGATCATTCTTATTTGTGGTTCCAAAATTTGAAGAGACGACCTCTATCCTGAATTCTGCTCACAGCAGTATATCTATCTCAGCTCACTTCTTAAACACTAACAAACCAAAGTTACCCTAGACAGTAGCAATGACCATACTAGGTAAAGTCTTAACCCACAGTCATGCTATAAGTGAATGATTATGCTGTCAGCTGCGGTGATGCCAAGACACTAAGTCTTCTAGCTACACCGAGTGATGGGATGGTTTGGTGTAGAAAGTTTTTAAAGGAATTGAGAACGAGGGGCCCAGATCGGTGGGGGTGTTTACGGTGCCCTCAGGGATGTGAGCTTCTAGTCTATTGCTGATATCGAGCGGGACAGGGAACTGTTCGACAACAGGTCCTAACAGTTGATAGGGGTGGTAGTCTGTGTCTTGGGTAGAGGTAGAGGATAGATGTACCGCGCTAGGAAAGAAAGTACTCACCGTAGAAAGAGAAAAGCTTTTGATCATATTCTTGCGGCTCTGGATCCTTGGCACTCGAGTGCTATTCCGGACGGTGGCTCAAGCCTGGTCAACGGCACTATGGGTACGGAGTCAAAGAGGTTTGAACGGTGGAGTCTGGTGATAGTATAAGTGGAAGGGCAAAGCAGGACGTTAGTTTGTTGGTAAAGATTTAAGAGAGGATGATAGAAATTGATATCGTGCCAAATTCTTCCTTCTTGCTTTCATCTACGGCCTCTTTTTATACTCTAGCGACGGGTCCTCGAGAGCGTATGGGCAATCCTAGCCGCTTCTGGCCATTGATGCTCGTTCCATAGTGATGAGGTCATGACAGGCGAGGTTCGATGTTGTTCTCGTTATTCAGTGAGGCTTAAGGATTCTCGCTGGAGATGACGCGGGGATCTCAGTTCTGTTTCTGCTGTGGCTGCGGATTCTCTAGCGCGCGCTCCAATGCCATTCTCACTTGTCATGTCACATGTTCTTAAGTATTTCAACTCAAATAATTGCTCTTTTAGCTAAGTGTTTTTTCCATTAAATATTTCATAAAAATAACAATAACAAAAAATATATATATTTAACTTAGAGAAAAAACAGGCTCTTATATTTATTGGGGCATTAGTCAGTTTGTTCTGATTTCAGTAACAAGTCAGTAACAAGCTGACATATGCACTCACATTATTGGTATATGACTGTGTTTATACATACAGCTGCTGTATGCAAGGAAAAATCCAAACAGCAAAACATATAGGAAATAAATTATCCCAGGGAAATCCTGATTTGAGACAGATGGACCATTATGATGGAAATTCTGAATTTGTTTAATTTCTGCTGGTTGTTAGAGTGAGAAACATCATTCTTTGCTTTGACTGAAAGTCCCATTGATTGAGACACTATTCAGATCATATCAGTGGTCAAATCAAGTTCTTGAAAAAATCAACTGTCCATTGACTCAAGTAAAGATATTGGCCAGGTCAAACTCTTCTTTAATTACACACTTCGAAGTATATCATAGTTATAGTTAGTAATGCTTTTAGGAGTACAGGTATAATGTATTTGGTTAACAATCTTTCTAGACTTGAGGAAATTTTCCAGCCCCCCAAGGGTCTTCAATCCCAACAAGCTCGCAGCAGCAAACAAGATAGATTGGCTTGAATGTGACCGAGATTCAATTATCCTGACTCTGACAGCCGCTGTGAGTAGACTAAGATGTTGTTTTGTCGCACTATCAACTCCCGGCACCCGGTCATTCGCGCAATAAGCCAGTTTGATTTGAGCGCCGCGTGACTGGAACAAGGGATATGTAGCCTCTTATGGAGGCGGCTGATCTGCTCCCTCATGCTTTTTTTGTCCAAACGGCGCGTGGTGGTCGACGGATCAGAGCCCGCGCCGAAGATCCTGCTCACGCGGCTCGCCTTGATCGATTGATGGCTACCCGTCTTGATCAATTTATGTTCTGAACATAGTAGCTACCACGGCGCCTATCAACAACTAAGAAAGATGATCTTTTCCCGCGGGGAGTACGACCACATGGGAGATGAGCGTCTTGCTTATTGATCATCACCGAGTAAGCGATCCCTCTCCCCTTCCATCGCCACCCGGGTAACGCTGGCGCGATGGAGCGTGATATTGTAGCATGCTTATGCACAGTTCTGTCACCTTCAAATGTTAGCTTTTTCGAATCACGAGCTCACAAGAGATAGTTTGCCTCGTCATTCAGAAATCGGGGATAGGATGTGGCTGCAACCTGTGGTCCACCATCATGCGATCGATTGACATCAGTGATAGAGAGTTGGCTTGAATTTGAATCGAATCTGATGGGCTTTGAATCAAAGGCCAAGAGAATGCTTACTAGGTCAGTGAATACGAGTGCCCCCCCCCCCCTCCCGAAACGAGTACGTTTGAGGAGCGAGTTTGTTGGGTGGAATCCAGACGAATGGAAGCGGGGTAGGCTGATCCTGTGAATATTTTATTATCTGTGTTTGTAGGAGTGGGTCAGGTACAAAAAAGATATTGTCCAGCGGGTGGTTATAGCCTTCAACATGCCACAGTTGACCAAGGGTTTGTTGCTGGTAACCCATCGGGACTAGATGAAATGATGTAGTATGTAGGGACTCTCTTCATCTTCAGGTTGAGAAGAGCCAGGTTCGGAGGGTCCCGACGAGGGAGGGGTGGAGCCGACCATGATGCCACGCTCGTCGCGGATGACCTCCAGTCCGTAGTGATGACACGGCCTGGAGAGCGATTTGCTACTGTAGCCTGGGTTGTTGCGAAATATTACCGGACATTTTGCGCACATGTAGTTCCCTTTTTCAACGATGTTATGACAGTTGGGCCGGCATTGGCCTGTGGCTGAAAGGTTGAATTGCTCCATCTGCGCTGGTGTGCATGGAATACCGTATGCGTTGGGGCACCTGGGGCACTTCGGCCTCTGCTGGGCGTTGGCAACCGTGGTGGCCAGCACAGCCAGAGTGAAGAGGAGATCGCGGGCGCGGAGCTGCATGGGGTCGAGTTTGACGGGGATCGAAGCTGGGCGAGGATTGATGACTCCAACTCAGGGTGGAAGGAGGCTGAGTTTCTGCTACGCTATGTACGTTGAGGGGTGCTAGGCAGGCTCAATTTAACGCTATATTTGGATCCAGTACGTGAAAAAAGGGAGAGTGGATATTACAGCATATCAAGAATGCTTGCAACTTCTGCACAAAAAAAAAAACTTTTGTCCCCCCAAAAAAATTTTTTGGGCGGATTTCTTCCCTGCAGCTGTCAAACGTGTGGAACAGTACAGGTCATACAGCACCACACGTACTCACTTGTGTCTGTATCTATCAAGGTGGAACCCATTCCACTCACAATCGATTTTTGCCACATCAGTCCCTCACGCTCAACAATCAACCAAACCAATCCGAAACTGTAAGAGCTTTCCTGGTGATTGAGTGTTCTGAGAGTCTGATGATTTCAGTGATTTTCCCCGCATGTTAGCGATGCCGTTTGTTGATTACAGAGCCAAATACAAGTTCTTGGTGGTCAAATCCGCCCTTAATGGCATGAGCTTAGACGACATAAATATCCAGAATGATACGACTGTCAGCACTTATTCCCTTTGCCGCTGGACCGAGTTGTATGAAAAAACAAGTTCAGTGGTTTGCGATCCGGCAACCTATGCGACAACTGGTCGTCCAATTGCTTTATCCAATGAGGAAAGGCGTTTTCTCTTAGAGCTTGTCACTTCCGATCCGTCTATCTATCTAGCCAAAATACAGCAATCACTGCTGGAGAACCAGAATGTCATTGTGTCCCTGCAAACAATCTCAAACGAACTACGCAAGCAACTGAGTTTGTCTCACAAGATTATGCAGAAGGTCCACCCCAATCAGAGCATCTACAAGCGAGGTGCTTATGTTGGATTGATTGCACATCACCACCCAGAATGCTTGGTCTTTACCAGTATGTAAGGATTTTTCTTCTTTCAGGATGTGTTTTAAATGTTTTCCAGTGTTCTTGTCTCCTTCAGATGAGTGTGGAATCTGTAGCAATGGCGTTCAACGCACAAGGGGATGGGCCCCGTTAGGAGAAAGGACTGATTGAATGCCAGTAGCACGTGCTCGGCATCGATTCAATGTGATCCCGGCGGTGGCTTTGGATGGTCTGGTGACAACTTTGGTCCAGGAGGAGAACATGTGCCAAGAAGGGTATCAATACTATCTGGAGCACATTTTAGTGAGTCTTGACCCTTAGATTATCAACCGCCCGCGCTGTCGTTTGCTAAGAATCTGTTGTGAATAGCTGCCCATGATGAATCCGTTCCCTGCCCCCCGGAGCGTCTTGGTCTTGGACAATGTGTCCTTTCACCACAATGGCCAAATTGCCGACCTGGTCGAACGACGTGGATGTCGTATTGTTTACCTGCCCCCTTACTCCCCGGACATGAATCCAATTGAGAAAGGTTTCAGCATCCTCAAAGCATCACTACAAAGGTCTGGCAAACTAGACGGAGGGGTGGGAGATGGCAAGATCATTGAATATCATTTTGGTTATGTCTTCACTGCCACATTGATGCAGAAGCTCTTCAGAGGCTGTGGCTATATTGATTGATGCAAGCGAGCTGTCACTAGTAGATTTTTATCCATTTTCTATTGATGCCTGTCTCCAATGTTTGAGTTCACTTCCCTCACCCTGAGTATGGCTCCCTAAGAGCATCTCCACGGGAGTTGCCAATTTTGGGTCGCTATGTTCTCACGATAGCGACCAGAATTCAAGGTTTGAAGACCCGAAGTGCTGAGGCACACACCACGCATCGTTATGAGGGAGTCGCCATCTGATGATTGGGCGAGGTGGTGATGTGTGGTGTGTGGGTTTCACAGAAGGAACACAGGAGTAGCCTGTGGTCCTCCTTACATCCAGAGTCGCTATCGAGTCTTCAAGTTTGAAGACTGGATAGGGATCGAGGCAGAAAATTGTAAAAAAGTGACCCGGATGGCGACTCCGGTGGGTCATATTTTTCAAGTTTGGGTCGCTAAATGTGGGATAGCGACCCAATTTAGCGACCCCCGTGGAGATGCTCTAAGAATCTAAATCATTGAACAAGCGCCTCTGGTATGAGTAGATGTCATTGACCAATAATGGTGAAATATATCCCAAGACAATTAGAGCTCCTTGTGAACCTGATACCAGTCAAGGTTTGACAAGGAAAATACTTAGCTGGAATGACCAATTTGGTCATTGTAAGTTGACCTGTTCAATGACCAAATTGGCCATTGCACCAGGGTTCCGATCCCAGTCATGGGTTGACAAGGATCATCCTTAGCTAGAATGACCGATTCAGTCATCAGGGTCTGCCATTACTGATCATAAGCCCAGACAATGACCAATGGGCATCGTCAATAGTCAACTCCTCGCTTGAGCTCACAAGTTGCTATGTCAGCGTGGAGGTAGTTGATGGCTTTGTGGCAAATGCTAACTGGAGCAGTATATAACTGACATAACCAGTCGATGTCACTGATAGGAAATCAAACCAAATTAGGCTTCTCAAAATCTCATAGTTCAGTTTTGTGTGATAATAGTGGCTTGCTTTAACTACATAAACAAAATGGGGTATGTGAGACATGAGTCACATCCAACTAGAAGAGAAATCTGGGAATCAGAAAGAAAATGGAAGACGTGTATGCCTTTGAGTGAGCAAGTTGGCTAAGCAAAATTGACCAAACAAAAATGGATAATTGAACATGACCAGACAAGAAGGAACAGAATGGGTAGAGGTCTTTTGTTGTAGATAGCTTTAATGGTGGCTTTTGATGAGAAAATATATCATATATGTATGCGTGTATATGTATGATGGAGTCACAGAGAGAATGATAATAAATTTGTATTGCAAACGAGGTTGAATAAGGCAGATGTGTGCATAGAAGAATCCAAAGGGACCAATTTGATCAATCGATTCCACCAACTGTTATCCTCAAGAGTGCCGATTTGGTGAGGTATTGGCCCGAGCTCTACTCTTCAAGTGGTCGGAGTAGCGCTTGGCCGCTTGGACAAGGTTTCTTGCAGGGCCCAATGGGACCCCTGCAGACTTGAGTTTTTCCAATGTAACATGCCTAAACATGCTCCAATGAGTCATGCCTAGTTCTACTAAGCCATCCAAACTGCTGAGCTATCAGGATCCACCCGAGCGTATTTGAGGAAGCATCTGATACCGTCCTCGCCTTCTGTGTCTGATGGAGCAGGGGATGACTCCGGCTGAGAGTTCCTTGGAGTATTAGCTGCACTCGAGTCTTGACCAACACCACCGAGACCGCCGACCGGAGGGACCACAGGGTGTGGATGGGGATGAGTGATTCCGGCGCCTTGGAATCCGTATTGAGGCATATAGTTCATAGGGGGATACATGTGAGGGTATGGGGGAAAGGCGTAGGTAGGGGCTGGCTGCTGGGTGATGGCCGCCGGGGGTCGGCCGTCTGCCTCGAGTGGTCCGGTGGTGTAGTCAAACATAGGGGTCTTCGGAGGGGTCCGCAAATCCACGGTGGCCGGCATGGTGTGCTAGTGAAATAAAGGAGTCAATAACCAATCCCATATGGTCCTCGCTGGGAAGGACTTACCATTGCTTTGCCCCAAGCTTCAGCCCTGCGCATTGTGATTACAAAGTACTCCTGGCCTTTCTTCGGGTTGACAAAAACCGACTTATTGGAGCTCCTGGTCAGCTGAGGACGAGGAGTGTAGGTTGCAAGGATCTTACCAATGTACTCGTTGATTTTGGCGCGATCAGCTGTGGCAGTCGACGGTTGAAAGGTCGGCCCTGCTGCAGTACCAGGATTATCGAGCTGCTCTAAACCGTCCAAAGCGGATTGTTTCTGTAGTGCAAGTCAGTCATCGGAACCTGATATGCTCAATACAACCAGAAGAAGAAGTCACTTACATTGGCGATAGCCTTGGGATCCTTCTGAGTCAACTTACAGGTGAGTTTCCGATGTGGGGGGCAAGTCAACATGCAGCCAGCCATGCTTCAAAAACCCCGGGCTGCCCCAACTGCTCATTTGCCCCAGAGGCAAATTCCCCACCGTGAACAATACTACCTATCCAGCTGATAATCCCAGCTGCCTCACTACGCTCCAAAAAACCCGCAAGGCTCTTGGCCTCATGGGTGAGAATTGCCGTGATCACTTCCGATTTGAAAGCGGCCAGATCCTTATTCAGTAGATCCCAGCTGATTGTCACTTTACCAACGTTTGATTTATAAGCCCTTGTTTTCGGAACATCTGAACCAGCCACTTTTCTCTTGTGTGGTCTTTGTTCAAAGATGGGCAAATGTAAATGAAAATTGATCATGATGATTTGATTAACAGAAACTGGGGCGACAGGTTCCGAATCTTCTAAGACCGGGGTGCCATGGCTAGAATCTTGTTCGTTGGGCGAAGGTGAGCGGCTGGGGTTTTTGAGTAGATCTATCTCATCATCTAGGGCTAACAAGTCAGAATACATTGTCAAAGACGAGCAGCCTTGGGGAGTCAGATCAGGATTGGTCATCTGAGCATGACATTTTGGTGTAGCATGAACCAGCACGGGTATTCTAGTTGGTCGGATACGATGGGACCGACTAGAATGATTGACATGATTTCCGTGTGGAGATTCACTCACATGTCCCGCATGAGGTGATTGACGGGGTGTTGAGGACAATTGAAGCGACTGAGCTTCATCAGGTTGATTGGGATCGACTCAGCTTGGGCTGGATGTTGAAAACGATTGACTCGGATTGACATACATATTGCAAAACTCACGCGCAGCTTGAACTTGAGCTTCCAGAGCCTGTGGATTGTTGATGGGACCGTAACTTTGATGGACTGAGGAGCTCATTGTTGTATAGCCCAGAGTGCGATTAGGCCCAGGAGGAAACCGGCAACATAGTTGCCCATTTTGGTCCAGGAACTCAAAGCTGTCATTGACTGGCAACATTGAGTTGGTCAGAGGGGTCATGTCAGCCACAGAGTACATGTCACAGTACCTTTCATGTACCAAGTAACTGCAACACCTGTACTTATGTACATAAGTACTTATCCATAATGTTGATTACCTTTACCTCTTGTTATCTTATTATTATCATTAACTTATCTTATCTTATTTATATTACATTTATCTTATCTGTTAATTACTTATCTATTTAAATACATACCTGTGTTCTACATAAGTAATTATCACTTACCTTTCACTCCCTTGTCCGTGAAATACCTGTACCACAAGTTATCCCTCTGCTACAGTATTTTCACGGTCAAATATTATTACAAATAAATATGTACATGTATTAAATAGTAAGTATTAAGTGTCAATAGAATTAATACATTCAATACATGCACAGATCACAATTATGACTACATTATTAGAGGATCTGTTAAGTACACATCAAGAGCTACTAGTACATTGATCAACTAGTACACAATTATGATGTCACTTACAGATCATGACAAATAATGATCAGTCACTCAATTGATGTGCTCATTCTCCTGGCCAAAGCTCCCTTGATTCTGAGCGCTCATTCTTTCCCCCTTCAGTATTCTGGAACTTATAATCCGCGCCTCTTTCACTGATTAATCCCCAGAATATTCAGACACCAGTTAAACCAGTTAACATTTATATTGATACAGTACACTTAACCAACATAAATCTTGTCTACATTTATTGTTCTTAAGCTTCAGTACTCTTACTCAACTTATCCACAGTATTCATAGCCTTGCTGAATATTCCCATCAACAATACCTGTTAATCTTCAACTAATTTTGTTAAAGCTTAATAACTATTGTTAGCCCATTCCCTTTTGGGAATAACCAAATCAATCCCAGGTGAGTCTTAGTACCCTGGATGCCTATTAATACCTTGTATTGATCCGGATGCGCTGTTGATAGCAAGCCTCTCAGTAAAGATGTCAGCTTGCTACTATGGCAGAGACAACCTGTCATAGCAAAATAAAATAATAAAAAATACTTAAAAAATCTAAGAATAAAGTAAAAATATTACATAAGTAAAAGAAACTACTTTACTTATGTAAATAATACAAAAACACTTAAAATATACAAATAACTTAGAAAGTATGAAGAAAACTTTAATTATTATTGCAGATTCTAAATCTACATACAAATTCACCTAGGGTACCTCAGCCAAAGGTACCCCCAATTCTCACTCCTTCACCCTTTAATACTACCATGAATAATTAACCAGTACCTTTAGATCACGGGCCCTGGATAATTATGCATTATACATAACCAAATGCATATACTCCAAATCTTGTCACGGATTTGGAGTGTTGTGTAAAGTTTAGAAGATAGTGTAGCGTGGCGTGTACTGTCTCCAAGCCCGCGCGCCGCGTAGTCATGCTGCGCACTGTTGACAGGCGCGCCTGACTACAATTGAGCCCCAGGCTCAAGCCCCCGCGCGTGCTAGGTATGCCTACCCGCCTTGGATACATGCATAACCCCCTCTGGGTTACCAGTATCCAAGGAATTGGGCCACAAAGCCCCAGAAACTCACTGTGCACGTGTCAACAAAGCCCCCACACGTGTAATAAAAATATAAACAAGCTAGAATATTCATGAATATACTACAGTAACTCTGTATATTCCATCTTCCAGCTTGTAGCACGTGTAACAAGCCCCAGAAACCAGTTCTGGCATATTCTGTGGCCCATTTCCAAGGAAATAGCTCCACGTAACAGACTAACCCCTACCCACAGGCTTCTAAAGGATATTCTTGGTTCAAATAAATTCGTGCATGACCCCCTGGAGCTTCTAGAATATTATCCCCAAGGTTTCAGCCCTTGTTGCGTCACCATGTGGGCTAAAATGGGCCCAAAAGCGCTCCCAAGACCTACTAAGCTCCCCTGAGCAACCCCTGAGGCCTTCCACAGGTATTTAAAGGGCCTTCTGACCGCCCAAATAATGATCCCCCAGCTTTACAATACCTTATAGAAATTTACTTACCCTTTACAAGTCCCCTACACTTGTAATTAGCCTAGTTACTACTATAAATTGCTGTTATTAAGCCTCAAGAACCCTCAAGAAACTCTCCAGTTATCACCCAGCACCCAAAATCAACTATTCTGAGCGCTCCCAACTGTCCAGTTTCTACTAAGAAGATCCTCAAGACCCCTTTGGATTATTACTAGTAAGTAATAACCCTTTCTTGAAGATTTTCCCCTAAAATTTATCTCCTGGGATTTAAACCACACCTGCTACAGGCCCCAGTGTATCAGGTACCTAAATCCTCTGCTTTTTGCACGATACCTTAGAGGGATTAAACCACCCCTGATTTATCAGGCCCCTCTGGTTTAATTTATATTAATTTTATTAATATAAATTGGCCACTTTTTGATTTAAATCCATAAATTTCACGTAATTCTTTTGAATTACCTGTACCAGTTCTATCCCAGAGTTTTTGCCATAAAAACTCTTACTTTTTGCACCTTGTGTAGCTAGAGGACACGTGTCTTGGCATCACATAGGCTGACAATTGGGGGTCTGGCCGGGAAAATTTTATTAAAAACCTCCCTTTTTAATAAAATAAGATACCTGGATTTTATTCATATTTTTCTCACAGAAAATAAAAAAATAAAAAATAAAAAAAAAAAAACCCATAAAAAATTACCACTTTTTTTACGGTTCTCTCTCTTTATTACCACTGAAAAATATACATACAAAAATATATCATTCTCATTTTACAAAAAATCAAACCCTTAGAAAAAATCATATACCTTTTTTTTTGACAGTCTCTCTCTCTAAATTCTTATCCTCGAATAAAAAAAAAAAATCCCTAAAAAACATATCCTCTTCCATTTTTTGCCTAGTGAATCTTCAAGAGAACGCGGAATTGATCCAGCGCTATCTTGTCCACCTCAGGTTACGAAAAGAAGAAGCAGATCGGAACTACATCCCGACTCCGTGGGAAGAATTATCCGAAGAAGAACAACTTCTTCTAGCGACGTACCACGCCCACATACATCAAGAAGAGGATCTAGATCAACAGATCAGATTCAGAGGTTTCCTTCGCGAGATTCGTGATAAGAACTCCCAACTCCGTCGCAAGAAATACTTGGAGAGAAGTACATTTTTTTTCTCTCATCCAATTTACGTTATTTCCTTTTTCAAAAGCTTACTTCTTTGTCGACCTAATCCCGGTAGTGTCAACTCTTGAAAAAGGAATCATCCGAGCTGAAAGAGCTAGCCCAACCCCTTCCATCGACTCAGACGACGGCTCCTCGCCTCAAACCGCTAAAAGTGAATACTACCTCTTATTTTTTTTTGATAATTAATCTCCTCGACGATCTAGAAACTAATTACTATGACTAAATCGACCAGATCAAACTGCACCGATCTCAGAGGTCCCCTCCCAGCTCCAACGCGACCTCGCGGCGGCAAAGGAGCTGGAAACACGAGTAGAAGGCCTCCAGATGACCACAATAGCTCGCAAGGGAGTGGCCGAGACTCAGACCAAGAACCAAAACGATCAACGTCCGAGTACGGAGACCGACACGCCCATGGACGTGGACGAGCTCGACCCCGAATGCTCGGTAGCTACCCTGAAACGCCCTTCCACGCCGGAGATTCGAGTCCTCTCGAAGGAGGATCAAATCAAACTCCGGGTGAAAGAGCACGTCGGGCTCTGGAGGCAATGTCAGGTAGCATCCAGAGAAGGGCCGACGGCAAAGCTCAGAGCCTTACTGACTACTGCTCAGGAGAGTCAGAAGGCTCTGCAAAAACTCATCGACAACGACGAGATCGAGAGTTATGTAAAAGGGTGGAACCCTTGGGAGGAAAAGAAGATTCACTTCCCCGCTCCTCCCAAAAAGTCACTAATGAAATTCAAGAAGAACGACTCGGGAAAGAAACAGAGCTCAAGTTCGATCAACTACGCCGATCCAGCCAAGTGGAAGAATGTAGCAGACCTGCTCAAAGTAGCCGCCGGTCTCTACCAGAACCTGAACTGAATTCTAAATTGGCTCACGCAATACTAGACTCTTTAGAATCACTCGACTTTAACCTCTCCACCTTAGACTCTAATAGCGAATTAAACTTCTCTTCTATTGTATCTAATCTTGAAACCTCTGTTAATAAAATCAAAGATAGTTTAGATTCTAAAGTGTTGCAGATAATTAAATTGTTAGAACGCCCGCTACCCATTGAGATGACTAGCAAACATAGTGAGTTACTCACTGTTGTCCAAAAAGATGTCGAGTATTTGAGAGAAAAAGCAAAAGATAATAAAGAGATTACCAATGAGATCGCTCAATTCTCTAGAAATTCAGCGGCGTTACATAACTCCAGCGCAGATTTTATCTTGTCCTCCCTGAGACAAGATAACATAGTGAATAGATCCAGAACTGAGTCCCAATTGGAGGAGCTAAAAAATCTGTTACTACAACAGCATCATCATGGCGAAGAGAGGTTCAATAGATTAAGTAAAGATCTAGTAGCGCTACAGAATGTAATGCAAAATGAGTTCAAAACTTTTAAAGACCACTATGAGAACCTAGTTGCCTCTGAGGCGCGCTCTACCAATTATGACTGTAAGAGTAAGGGCTTTCCGGAAGGGAATCCTCAACATATAACAAAAGTAAAAGAAGGAGCCCCTCATTTTTCTTATAGCAAAAAAGATGAGCCTCCTTTACCAGCGCCATCTGAGGAACCTAAGTATAATAACCCCCTTATGCTATCTAGCACTCCACAAATAAAAAGCTACTCTCCTGATCCCAGAATGCAGAGAAAATCAGATGAGGAAACAGATTTCATAAGAAATTCTACTCCTTATACGGCTGCTGAATTAGCCAATCTACACAAATACATGCCTCCTATCAAAGACTGGCCAGAATTCGATGGTAAAGATGAATATGATCACATTAGTTTCATTAAATACATAGATTATTTGCTAAGAACTTACATGGCCCCAGATGATATGATTACCTCCAAGCTCCCTAGGATAATGAAAGGAAT